CGTCACCACTGTGTCACTGCCACTTTTCGGGACCGAACCGGGAACACAGAACCCGGAAAAGGCCCTCCATATCGCAGGGATAGGCCCCTGGCCCTGGCCCGTCGTCTCCCAAGAATCTGAACTTTAACATTTTAGGGATGTCCGCGTGTACCCAACCATGTGAGTCGGTTCAAAAATTATTGTAACACAATGCCGCCCGCATGGAAAAAAAGTGTGATCGAAAGTGTTCCAGTGCCACTGTTATACTTCTTGAGGCATCGCAGATGGGCTCACTGCACCACGCTACTTTCGGTAACAAACACTTTTTTCCAAGCGGGATGAAATTGCGCTTTTTTTTACTCACGTGTTGGGATTTCCTCCACACCACGGACAAGACGCGCGTTGGTTGTCGAACAACTGGCTTTCAATTTTGACGGCACACACTGGCTCGCGGAACTGGGCCAAACATTTTTGTTGAAGAAATAAAATCGACGGAACCGGAAGATATGATCCCGATAATGGCACTCCTTCCGGCCCGGGCGGGCGGTGGACTCGCCTCCGACGGGGTGGTGCAGGACGGCGTCCTGGACGGCCCGCGGCCGCGGCACGAGTGGCGCCGGGGGCTGCGCGCCCCTCGTACATATGGGCTCGGCCGGCTGATGCAACTTGGCGGCCAGTTTGCCGCTGCGCCAGGCTCGCCTGGCGCGACCGCGTGCCCGGATTGCGTGAGACAGCCTGACACCCGGGGTGCGACGCTTCTGCCGGGGCGCGCCGCGGCTGGGGCGCCACCCCTGCAGTGTCCGGGGGGTAGGGACCCGCTCGGCGGTCGCATCCCGTCAGAGATGCGCCGCGGAGACGCCGCCGTATGCCACGTTCAAGGCCATGATCGCTAGGCCAGTGCCCCGTCCCGGCTGGGCCGCGGTGCACCGGCCGGTGCGTGGGGGAGGCGCCGCGGCCGGCCGCCGGTGCGCGGTCCCGCTCTCTCCTGCGCCGCGGCCCGCCCCCCGCGAGCGGCGCTCTCTCTCGCGCAGCCGGTGCAGCCCCACCGGGAGGCCGGCCCCTCCAGCCCGCCGGGACAATGCAGCCCCGCGGTGCACGTGAAGTCCGGCCGGCTCTTTGCATCAGCCGAAGAGCAGAGCACGGCCGTGTCCACGTGACTCGCGGGGTCTCGGTGCAAATATATAAGCGGGCTCGGCCAGGAGCACGGCATCAGTTCAACGAGCACCTCCCAGCACCACAGCCCACAGCAGCCCAGCAAGAGACATGGCCTACACCAAGGTAGGGGCGTCGTCGCCGACCACGAATCCAGCGGCTGCCACCCTTCTACGGCTCCCCATGCCTCTCTCTAACGGGCTCGCTTTTGCTTTGCAGATCACCCTCCTCGCCCTGGCGGCCGCCCTCTCCGTGGCCCGAGGCAGCCCTGTGGCAGGATACGGTGGAGTCGTCGTGGACGCGGGCCTCGGAGCCGCCCAGTCTTACAGCCGCCTCAGCGTCCCGGTTGCCGCCTCTTCTGTGGTGGTTAGCTCCGCCCCCGCAGTCGCCTCCTACGCCGCCCCCGCCATCGCCTCTTACGCCGCCCCCGCCATCGCCTCCTACGCCGCCCCCGCTGTCGCCTCATACGCCGCCCCTGCCGTCGCCTCCTACGCCGCCCCCGCCGTCGCCTACAGCAAGGTCGTGGAGCCCGAGATCATCGCGTACCCTCGGTACGGCTTCAAGTACGGCGTGGAGGATCCCAAGACCGGTGACGTCAAGGACCAGGCCGAGGAGCGCGACGGCGACGTCGTGAAGGGCGAGTACTCGCTGCTGCAGCCCGACGGCAGGAAGCGCGTCGTCAGCTACGTTTCCGACAAGGTCAACGGATTCAACGCCGTCGTCTCCTACAGCGGCGAGGCGGTCCACCCCCAGGTCGTTAAAGTCGACCCCGTCCAGGTCCAGGTCCCGCTCAAAGTGGCCTCGTATGGGGCCGCCCTCTCGTCGGCCTACTAGGGACGTTCGAATATGACCGTGACTGATAAACTCGACATTCCATAAGATTTTCCGCCCTGTAAATATCTCATCGTCCACCAATAAAAAAAAAC